GTGTGTGTGTGTGTGTCACCCCCTGTGCCAAAGGGTTCACTGCCATCGTTACCGTCACCACCTTTTTCCAAAGCAGGGGGGCAGTGATCCCTTCAGCAGTCACTGCCTAACAAAGACACTGCTGATCGGATGTGATATTCGGAGAGGACGCTCTCTGAACGTACCTGCTGAGGTCTTTCGCAAGCTGTCACCCTACTTTTCCACGTTTTGATTCATGGTTCTTCATGTTTCCACCCCCGAAACCTTGGTTTTGCAGCTGAGTTGCGCCGCTCGTTCGCCACCGCTGAGCTCTGCAGTCACGCACAAACAGCTTGTTCAACTTTTCAAGTGAACTGACTTTCTCACCATGCCGTTCCCTCACCATTTTCGACCTGGGAATTGAGTGTAACTGAATACAATTGTCAGAGTGTGTGTCTGTGTGTCTGTGTGTGTGTCTGTGTGTGTGTGTGTCTGTGTCTGTGTCTGTGTGATTGGTCGAAGAGAAACCTTTGCAAGAATATCGGAATTCAACGAGGAATCTTAAGGAATGGAATGGTGGGATCCAGCTCAGGATGCCTCAAAATATATGGAACCTTGGGTATTAAGGATCAAGCGGCAAGCACCTTTGACAACATCAGGCCATCCCAAGGCTTGAGTGGCCCAGTCATTCTTGGAAACAACATGAAACAACAGAAAAGCCCCAGCGGCTCAAGGGCAAATATGCAGCATTTGCCGGCTTAAGAGTTCCCCTCTCCTGCACATACATGAGGATGAAAGGGTAGTTAGGTTCGAAGTGACGATGTCCTTGGGGTCGGATGCCGTTATATATAGAACCCCAACTAGAAAAACTGATAGAACAAGTACATCCCCACTTAAATTTAATTGAAACCGGCCACTATATATCTATTTGGGGACCACTATAAGGTCTTGTTATACCGCCGCCGACACAGATGCAAAGTCCATCCATGCTTCTGGCTTGAACTCTGGCAAGGAGGCAGAGTTCAGGGCGAACTCCAGTCCCATATCCTCACACTTCCTTCGGTTTGCGGCTCATGGGCCGTCTCGAGGTCTGTGCTACCTTCTGCTTCCCTTGCGTCTCGTTGGACACGGCCAACTGCAGCAACTGCGGGTCTAGACAGGACTATCGGATCGGAGGGAAAGCCGCGACCGAAGACCATGAACCGGAGCAGTTCCCTGAACCGGAGTGGGTCTTCTTCTTAGAGGAACTTGTTGATCTTCTTGGAGCTCCTTGCGCATGCTCCAGGGATCCTCTTGGAATCCGATCGAACCTCCTGGATTGGGCAGTTCTGACTGTGATTCAGCTGGGACCAAGATGTGAATACGTCACCATCCTTGGTAAGGAGAGCTCAACCATTCCTCACAATCTGGTCACATTGCCATGCTCCTATTCTGGATTTCGCACTCTCAAATTCTCAAATGATCAAGTTAACAAGACATAATTTTGCTATCTTGCTATCTCATGCATATCTCTCATCCCAGTCTGCAGCTGTATGCTGTATGATACTCAAAACCCCAAGTAGGTCGACCTCGTCTTCCACCTCGCTCAACGTCGAAGTCCAGCGGCCAGTCCAGCGGCAGGCGGCGCACTTTGGAAGAGTTACATGCCCACAGACGATCCCACAGACGATCCCATGGACCCTGGGACTTCCACCTTTTTCCTCTACAAGCCCCCACGTGGTTTTGGGGGGGGTCGATGTGCTCCGAATGGGTCTGCGGTCGAAGCGGCTTCAGGATGCTTCAGGCGTGAAAAATCGCCTTGGGCTGGTCCAGATGGGTTTCAGCGCAAGGCTCGCCCCCTGCAAGGGTCGTGGCTTCAGCCGTGCATCCTGTGGATCTCACATGAGACCACATCCACCAGAAGACGCAAGGTCGACAACACTTGTGGGGGAGGAAAAAGCGAGGGTGTTGGAGGCCATCGCTATTAGGGCTGGAGGCCATCGCTGGATGCCATCGTTATTGGGAAAGAGGGGGTGTCATTTATGGTGAGGAACAAGTGCATCGCTAGTAGTAACAAGTGCCTTACTAGTAGTAACAAGAAGCTACTAGTAACGAGAGATACTTCAAAGACCGTTCCTAGTAGCTTCTTGTTACTACTAGTAAGGCACTTGTTACTAGATTGATTGTGGGATTCTCTGAGATTCTCTGGGATTCGGCCCCTGGTCCGACCGTTCCCGAATTCCACTCGGGTTCTTCTGACCAATGCAGATGGTTTCAGTTTCACCAGCAACACCCAGGGCTGCCCGGGTGGTGATTGGAAGGCAATACATACCAGCTGCTTCCAAGGGGCCTACACTGCTGAAAAAGGTCACCATTGGACACCCATTGGAAGTGCTAGGTAGTCAGGGGTGTCTCTAAACCGAACTCCTTGGTCCCAGGTTTGATCTTCACATCTCACCCATCTTGCAGAGCGGCTGAGCGGCCTATGAATCGATGGAGGTCATCAGCCTCGGAGGAGGTGGTTCTTGAATGAGTCAATCAGCGACGGGTTTCTTGGATTTGTGGACTTCTTTAAAGAATTAAGATACCCTTAACAAGACCATGGTTAGATGGTGATTCCACCGAGCTCACGTTTCGGCATTGTTCTCCAACCTACCTCAGGAAGGCTGTCTGCTCCAAGTGCTAGGCGGTTGGAACGAAATACTGCACTGCCTGCATTTTGACAGCACCAAAAAGTTGATCGTGCTTTTGCACAGTAGCAGCCCAGGCCGCCAGGATCTCTTCCGAATACAGAGAGAAAGGAAACCCTGTTGCTGGGACCAGTCTATACCTCAAAGCAGGCCATGTGTGGCAGCTGTAAAAAAACGTGTAATGGAACTGACCAGTTAAAAATGCGGATCCGCTGGGACGGTGCATCTTCCACTTGGAGACCTTTAGGTGACCCCGGACATGAACAACGCCAACTCCAGACCTCCAGATGTCCTAACAGTCATGAGTGGAAAAAAACATGGAACCCTCTCAATTCCACCATCAAACAATCAAATACAATCAAATACAATCAAATAAAATACAATCAAATACAATCAACACATCATTGACAAAACAAACACGGCTTGACCACTTGGCCTTTTGTCAAACTTGATGTGGGGCACCATGCATGTTCTTGCGATTTCATGTGGGTTACACGCCTGGGTAGACCTTCTTCTCGTTCACATCTCAGTCCTGTTCCGCTGGCATCTGGAATACCTGTGAGTCGTATATAGTGTGTCCAAACAAGACCCCATGACATTGGCTGAAAAACAGTACCTTGGCTTCAAACAGTACCCCCAATGGTCCTCATCATCCCGACCCATGGATCCGTCAACAATTCATCATCCGATCAAAGAAAGACTATGAAAGACTTGGTGGTGTCAACTCACGGTTCGGTTTCAACTCACGGTTGGTGGCGTCAACTCACTTGAAACACATGATCATACCCTTATGAATCCAAACACGTGAATAGCAACATTTCTCACCAAACACGTAAATACTGATCTTTCTTGGCCGAGTATGTGAATAGTACATGATTGGATTGTCAGGGATACATTCTCAGTGGGATCAAATCAAGTCAAGCTTCCAAGCACCCAGTTGACACACCTCATGGCCCAAGGAGCTCTTCCAGGTGGACACTCTTCGGGCGCTTCTTGGGAGAGCCGCTGGTGTCCGTGTGGAGCATATCCATAAACTCCTGGAAACACACCTGTGTAAAGGGTGCCAAGCCAGGCGAACCCACTAGGCTCTTGCGTCGGTGCTTAATTTTTTACAAGTGCCATTCTATTTTCAGCCACTGTGCATCACC